AAAGCATGCTTTTTTAATGGTGTCCTTAATTGTGTGAATGAATAATTTTACACAAAGACATAAGAAAATAAACAAAAATACAAGGATTAAAAATCCAATTTTTCTGTATTACCAAATTATTTAATCATAAATGTTGTCATACGATCACATGACCAATGACATGTCATTGGTCATGTGATCATTATGACCATAAAACTTAAAGGGATACTCAAGTGTGTATATGTCATAGATAAACATTAGAAAATAAGTTAAAAATTAATTAAACTTTCTAAAACAAATTATTAAATGAGATAATACAGGGTTCCCACTATTAAAACTAAAGCTAAAATTAAGGATTTTAAGGAGATTTAAGGAGATATTTTCCTAAAATTTAAGAAGATTTGGTCGCGAACGACATTTTTTTAAAAGAAAAAACGTTTTCTTTTAAAAAAATGTCGCGAACGACATTTTTTTAAAGAAAAAATAAGATTATGTTTTGAACGTTTTTTTTTTAAAAAAAAAAAACGTTTAAAACATAATCTTATTTTTTCAATAAACTTTAAATATAAACAGAGAAATTATTATTACTTTATATATATATGTATATGTGTATATATATATATATATATATATATATATATATATATATATATATATATATATATATATATATAATATATATATATATATATATATATATATGTATGTATGTAAATATATATGTATGTATATGTAAATACAGGCCTTGTTTTAAAGCGTTACGCCTAGAGCAATTTACATACGCCTTAAGCGCTTTTTACGTACGAGTAGAGCTGTTTTGGTTAAGCTACTTTTTATCATTTTTTAACTTTTAAATTAGCGGTAACATAAAAGAAGTAATTAATTTTCAAAAAAACCACATTAACTTTTAAATAACGATATGTAAAGATATTTATTAAAAAAAAGAATTTACTTTAAAAATAATTGTTGTAACTTTTCATCGCGATATATATTTTTCCTTTTTATAGCAATTAATTTGAAGCTAAACTTTTTTTCCAAATATTTAGCAACATGAAAAATTGTTTGTGAATCCTTAACTACAAATTTTTTGCGATGTTTTTAATAAAAAGTAGTAATTTTTTAAAGTTTTTAGTAAAAAACTTTTAAAAAATCTATCTTCCATATTTATTAATACAAAATATAAAAGTTTTTTGTAATATAGATTTTTTATGAATTTTTTACTAAATTTATAATAAAAAACATTTGCAAAAAAATTTGTAATTAAGAATTGACATTTATTTAAATAAAATCTCAAAAAATGTCTTAATATTTTTGTTATCATGATAACAAAAATATCAAGACATTTTTTCGAGATGTTAAAAAAAATGTCTTTGCTTTTCTTATTAGTTAAAGGTATATAGTTTAAGTTATGCGGGGGAGGGGGTTGGCACAGAAAAAAAAAAAATTACCTGTTACTTGCAATATTTGAATGAAGACAATTTGTTAAAATTCTTCTGCGTGCGATTCAATAAGTTTTTGTTTTCATAAATCAAGTTATATTATAAGGTAAAGAAATTATGAGTAGACTACAACATAAATAAATACTAAGGCACATTTTAGTTTAATGACAGTCTCCATTTTTTACTAATGAATATGTATTTTTCTTCATAAAACAAAACAAACTAGTATATAAAAACCTTGTATATTTCTATTATCTTTAAATTGTTTAAAGTTCGAATATGGATTGTATTTTGAAGGACAAAAGATTTACTTTAAAAACTTTTAAATCTTGGGACTTTGCTGATGCTTTGCCGATGCGACGATCACAGAAAAAGAGAAGACTTACGTTATTAAAATCAAATGTAAGTTATGTGATCTTCATCAAAATAAAATATTATCCAAAAACAATAGTGTCGTAAGGGCAACTGCCCAACGGTTTAAAAATAATACAAGTCATGTTAAAATATTTTAAAATGTTACTATATTTTAATTAAGTTGATATATAATTAAAAATAAAAATATAGTTCAATAAACAAATTAAATTTGTTCTTAACAAAGATTACCTCATATTTATTCTTTTTTTTATTTTATTAAGTTAAATTGCTTACAAACAAAAAAAAAAAAGAGTTTAGTAATTATACCTAGAATGAAAATACTTTTGAGTTTGTTTATAAGTTAAGGAACTTAATTTTTAATAAACAAATTTTTACTAACGTTTACTATTACAATTCAAATTATTTAATATACTTAAATTATTTCAGTTGAGTATTTTTTTAAGTTTGCACGATTAAAGTTTGGCGTAGAAGTATTTGTTTTTTTGTTTTAAGAATAATTAACAAAAGAGTTTGCATAATTAAGTCTTTTATATTTAATCTAATTTTTTTTTTAAATTTCCTAAAATTAAAAAAAAAAAGATTTAATCGTTGAAAACGATTTTTCTCTATAGCTCTGTTTCTTTGTGATTTGTTTAAAAAGTTAAATATTTTTACAATAACATAAAAAATTTATGAATTAAATTCCTAGCGAACGCGTTCTAAACTACGTATCAAAAATATGCTCAAAGCAGACAAAACTTTTTTATATTTTTATAAAACGCAAGTTGAAACGCTTTTAAAAATTTAAAAAGTATTTAAAAACTTAAATTTTTCTTTTTTAGTCAAAACAAAATCATTGTTTAAATAATTAAAATGGGTTTGTGTTTATCAATGTTAATATTTTTTGTTTACTCTAAAAAATTTTAAAAATAAAAAAAATCATTATTGTTTTTTATTCAATAACGATTAAAAACAATTATTCAAAAAAACAATTATTATATATACATTTATATATATATATATATATATATATATATATATATATATATATATATATATATATATATATATATATATATATATATATATATATATGTATATATATATATATATGTAAATATATATATATATATATAATATATATATATATATATATATATATGTATATATATATATATATATATATATATATATATATATATATATAAATATATATATATATATATATGTATATATATATATATATATATATATATATGTATATATATATATATATATATATATATATATATATATATATATATATATATATATATATATATATATATATATATATATATATTATATTATATTTACAAAAGTTGGTTTGAAAACTATCAAAAATCTATATATTATCTTCTTTATTAACAAGTATAATCCATTCACTTCAAAAAAAATTTCTAGATGATTAAAAAAAAAAATAAGGAGAAATTAAGGACAGCAGTCAAATTTTAACTTTTTTTAAGGTTATTTAAAGACATTTAAGGAGATTTTTATTTTTTAAGGATATTTAAGGTTTTTAAGGTGTGGGAACCCTGTAATAACAAAAAACTTTTTAATTTTAAACGCCATTTTGTTTCCGGCAAAGGAAAGTTCCGGCTCTTTGACTATTTTTAGTTTTTAAATCAGGTCTGATTAATGCGCTTATATTTGACGTCAATACAAAAAGTTTCTTTCAAAAAAATTATATTCCAGTGGTTTCCTCTTTAGTGGTTAAACAAAAATGTAATATTGTAACTTTGAATATAAATTTTATATACAACTGAAAAATATATATTAGATCAATTTAAAAACAATTTCTTGAATTAGAAATATAAAATTTATAAATATATATAAATTGAATTAGAAATATAAAATTTATAAATTATATAAATTATTATAATCATAAATTAAAAATATAAAATTATTCTTCAGATCATTTTTAAAACAGTTATTAAAAAAATAAAGATTTTTTAATCTTTCAAAATTTAGCCATCTTGGATTATATTGTACTTAGTGGTGTATATAAAAAAATTAATTACTTATTTTCTAAGAAAAATATTCATCTTGTGTATTTTAAAATTTGCTTCACCTAAATTACTATTTTTATTATGTTAGTTTATTTAACTCAAACACTTAACGACACATTGAACAAAAAACAAAAACATGCTACAGAGAACGTTTTTTATAACCACCGCAGACTAAATATAAATGGGAAAACCCAATTTGATTGTGTAAAACTGAACTGATTTTAAAAACTCTGCAGTGAGTGAAAACTTCTATTATTGAAACCAGATATTTTTTTAACAGAAAAAATAAGCAGATTTGAGAGCCTAAAATTAGGAAGTATGATGGCAAGAGAGCCTTTGAGATTTGAGAGACTAAAATTATTAAACATTTGAGATTTAAAATTATAAAACATTTGAGAGCCTAAAATTAGGAAGTATAATGGCAAAATAACATATACTTTTGTTAATATCTTATTCAATAATATGTTTTGAAAGGTTTAAACTTATTTTCTTATGTTTATGTATGATATGAACACAACTTGCCTTGGCACTTGGGGATCCCTTCAAGTATGCTAATTATGTTGTGTACCAATCAAGTATGTTTTGGAATTGTTTTTTATATGCTACAGTATTTCTTTATTATGTATTTATTGCTTTAGATCATTGTAAAATAGTAAATAAAAAAAATAATAAAAAGAAATAAATATAATATTTCAACAACATATTTGCAGTCTATATTTTTGTCAACTTTTTTTTTATATCACTAATTTTTGTTTACCCCGAAAATATATTTATTAGTATTACATTAAATTAATTTGTAGCAGAGTATTATCACTATACCATTACTGTTACACTGTTACTGTTACACAGAGTATTATCACTATACCATTACTTACACAGAGTATTATCACTATACCGTTACTTACACAGAGTATTATCACTATACCGTTACTGTTACACAGAGTATTATCACTATACCATTACTGTTACACATTACTGTTACATATACACTGTTACCATTTACAACTACTTTATACTCTAAATTTTTCTTACTTAAAAACGTTAGTAAGGTACTTTAATACAAACATTACTTATTTTAAAATACTCTTAAAAAGGGTTCTGGAAGCCCTCGTTATAATTGGGGTTTGGAACCCTGATTAAAAAATGTTTTAATAAACCCCAAGGGGTTCTAAATGCTTTTTTACAAGAAGGGTTCTAGAAACTTTTTTTATAACCCCAGTTTGAATAGTTCTAGATTTCCCAAATCTCATTTTGTAATTGGAGTTCCATAACTGATTCTCAGATTAAGAACCCCAATTGAGGGGTTCCAGAACCACAAGGTTCTAGAATCCTGAATTTAGGTACAGGTTCTTATCTCTGTAAAAATATTTTAAAAAAATTGGCAGCAGCAAAACCGTAAACACCAAAATAAATTATTTAATGGTTTTATTTTATTTTATCTATATTTATATATAATAATTTGTAATTATATATAACAACTTATAATTACACATAATAACTTATAACTATATACAACAACTTATAATTATATATAATAACTTGTAATTATATGTAATAACTATAATTATATATAACTTGTAATTACATATAGCAACTTATAATTATATATAATTAAATCAGAATTGTACAGAAAACATTCACTTTGTATATAGGGCCATTAATTTGAGGCTTGATCCCAGGAGACATTTCTTCCTCAACCAACATTATAAGTTTTAAGAAAAAAATTGCTTTACAATTTTATTCTTAAAACTTATGTTGGTTGAGGAAGAAATGTGGAAACCAATAAAATGCCCATGCAAAATATGTCATAAATAAAATTAAGATGGCTATTATAATTAGAACAAATTTACATGTGGTACAAGTTCACCATCATCGGTTTATATAGTTCAGTATTTTATTGTGACTCAGTTTATACAATATATTTGTAAAATCTACCGATGTTAAATAAAGTTAAATAAATAAAATAAATATATAAGTAATAACTTATAATTATATATAATAACTTATAATTATATATAATAACTTATAATTATATATAATAACTTATAATTATATATAATAACTTATAATTATATATAATAACTTATAAAACACAGAACTACTAAACTAGTTTAAAAATTATACAAATATAATTCCACTAATTTCCTAATATATTAAAATATAATTTAACATAATTTCGTAATAAAACAAAAAACTGTTATAAGTGTATTATTTTGATGTTGCCTATAATCTAGAAATAATCTTGATATTTTGAAGTTAATAAATTGAGAAAGGGATGTATGTGAAAATGCAAATCTTTTTATGTTGTTATATTGTTATTATAACTAAATATAGTGTTAAATTTAAATTATATATAGTTTAAATTTTTATCTATATGATAATATGAATAATGTATAGTAAGAATTTATAGAATCTTAAAAATCTTTCTGAAAATGCAAATAAATTTTTTGATATTCAGAAAACCATAAAACATATGTAAATAAGAAATGAAATTTATTTTAAGATTTTGATTTTGCTTCTATGTGTTCAGCTTCTTTTTTTTATAAGGAAAAAATTAAAACTAAAATATTTCAGAATTGAGAGATTTTAACCATTAATAGCAAGATTTCAGAAAAGCCACTGAACCAACACTGTGTGTAACTAATAAAAAGTGAATAAAAATAACATACCTGATTGACAACTACAAAACAAATTTTATATTTTTGAGAAATATGATGCAACTTTAATCCAAATTTAGCAAGCATTTGTGACCGATTAATCATATTGCTTGCATCATATTCGGCTCTGAAAAGTGCTGCAACTGAATCCAGAACAATCAACTTGATTTTTTGGTTTGATAAAAGTAAATCAACTTTTATATTGAGTAATGTCCACAGGTCATCCTAAATAATTAGAAAAAAGATATTGATAAATATTAAAACCTTCTAAACAGATTTACACCTTTAAATACAAAAATAAAATCATAATTTAAATTTTTTTTTATACTTGAATATTATCTAGATTTAAATTATAAAATTCTATAAATATTAAGAAAAAATTAGAAAAAAAAGGACTTATAAAAATTAGAAAAAAAAAGAACTTATAGCAACTTAATAGCTCAGCAGTATGTTCAATGAACATGCGATCAGTAAGAATTGTTGGAGCAGCACAAGGAATTCTTTTAACAATATTCTCTGACATCTGTTGTAAACGCTTCATTGGAAAAGCATCTTCTGTACATATGTACAAAACACCTAAACTTAAATATATAATTAGTAATGAACTCATGTGATGTTATTCAAAAATAGATTAGAAGCAAAAAAGTAATAGGAAGATGATAAACAATAAGGGCAGAGAAAGATGAAAAATTACATTAAATATTAATATATTCCCAGCACTGAGATTAGACTATGAGATTAGACTTTAAGATTAGACTATGTGATCAGACAATGAGATTAGACTATAAGAATAGACTATAAGATTAGACTATGAGATTAGACTATGAGATTAGACAATGAGACAGTCAAATTTAAATTATCACAAAGAACAAGAATAGGGCTTGGCAAAAACCGGAAAATCTTAAAAAAACTGGTTTTCCGTTTTTTCAAATTGTAAAACTGAATAACCAGTTTTACTCCATTTTTTTCTTATGAAAAATGGAGTGCACAATTTTGTGATTTTGAGTTATTTAACAATCTCGAAATTAAAATAATTAAGCAATAAAAAAATGTTAAGCAAAAAATGAAATGAAACAAAGAACGAAAATATCTAAAAGTTGACAAGGCTTTTCAAGTTAGTCTTACTTGTCATTTCTGGATTGTTTTGATTATTATAAGTATTTCAAAATTTAAAAATTGTTGAATGATTTTGTCAGTATGTAATCTAAAAATAAATAACTGATAAAAAAAAAAAAAAATGAAATAAATAAAATACCAGGGAGGTAAATAGAATGGAAGGAGAACGAAGTTGAAAATCATTTAAAATCGTAGTACAGTCTTTGTTGTATAATTATTCCAGCGGAAAGTCAAAATGGCACCTTTGCGTTGAAAAAGGAAAATTTTTAAATGTAGTTTTTAACCTTTATAAGCTGTAATCAAAATGGATTACTTTCTTAAAAGTTGACAGATAAGCTTATAACAACTGCTCTAACTATTAATTAGTAATCACAACAAAAATCTATGTAAAGTAATTGTTTTTTGAATACCTTAATACTAGGTATAAATTTATCAAATTTTTGACAATCTCTACTACTTGGTTGAAACTTTTACTTCCCTGTTTAACTATAGGTTTTTTACATTTTTAAAGAACGTTTTTTCACCAAGGAACTTATTATACCTTTCCAGGATTTTATTTTGTGTTGTAGTATTTTTGGATTTAAACACAAATTGTAGGTTATGTAACCAAAATCTTCAACCATTTTATCAAAGCATGCTTTGATAAAATGGTTGAAGATTTTGCGGTTGAGTTGTAAGGATGTATTTTGTTGTGTTATATTTTAGAATTTTGTATCAACATAGACTTTTTTTAAAAGGTAGAAGAGTTAAACTTCATGTTACTACAAGATTGTTCCTTGAGAAATGACGTACTTTAACTTTGTTCTCCCTCCAGTCTATTATATCTCTGTGATAAAACTGAATGCAATATTAAAGTACTTTTTAAAACTATATATTTATTATTTTCACTTGTCAAAATAAGAAATCTTCAAACAATTTATCTAATTAGAAATCTATAATTAACGAATGTTTTTTTTTTTAAGAAAAAAAAAAACGGTTTTTATTTTCGAGAAAACTTAACAAAAACCAGTTAATCGGTTACAATTTCTACTGATTGCCAAGCCCTAAACAAGAATATCTTGTAAATTTTTTCATGTTGTTCTGAATGTGAAATAGTATTATCATTGCAAACAAGTTTATTCAAGTTAAATTATTTTTTTTAAAGATTTAGCATGGTATTAAGGAGCAATATATATAACTATCTAAATATAATTAGGCTAGTTAATTTTTAAATACTGAATCCAAATTGCCAAAACCAAAAACATTCAAAATTAAAATAAAATTTTTACTAAAAGTTTTACTAAACTGATTGCACTATTAAAGTTTACCATGTCAGTCTTTCTACAAATTTCGACAAGCAACAATTAGAGTTGTTTTATCCTAAATTATCTATCAAATTGTTTTTTATTTTGGTTTCTATTTCATTATAAGTATTTTTTCTTTTCATTATATTATATTATTTACAAATGTATTTTTAGCTTTTTTAGTGTTTTTCACACTTTTAGTTATAAATGTTTAAAACTTCCTTCAGTAGCTTTTCTTAACTTTTAAACTTTGAATTTTATTATTAGTTTTTAGTTTATTATTAAAAAGATTTATTTATCATTATGCTATTCTGTGAGCGGTTGTCTATAGCTTACAGCAAACAATTTTGGACAATTATGGACTCCTTACTCTACCCCAACATCTTGTTCTACTGACTGGGGGTTAGTAAACTGTGAAAAATTACACAACAAATCGGTCATCTCCCCCTACCTACCTCTTCTCCAAAAAAAAAATTGGAGTTACTAGAGAAAAGAATAGATTTATAGAGAAAATTATTAGACTCAAGATGAGAGATTAAGTGTTAATTTAAGATTTAAAAACCTTGCTTATGATAGGAAAAAGACTAATGGGGCGGTAGTTAAACAAGCCAGATCACTCCCCTGAATTTTTGAAAATAAGAGTAACAAATACTGCTATCCAGCAGGCTGGTAAAAAAGACTTTAATAAGCAATTGTTAAATAGTTTTGAAAGTATAGAGAAAAGCTTCGGAGAACACTTCAGCAAGACTATAACAAATATGTTGTCGTGACCACAAGCTGTAGAAGAGTCTAAGCTGGATATACAAAAGCTAGAGTGATACAATTGTCAAGGATCAAGTGGACCTCACTAGTGGAATCAAGAAATGAGATTGATAAAAAGTTCTTAGCAAACAATTCAGCTTTGTCTTTAGGTGAGATCATAAAATCTAAACCATACAAGAGGGGTTGAATAACAGAATTGCCCTAATGTAACTTCCCTATAACATTTTAAAGTTACATTACGTATTGTAATGAAAACAAGATTTGTTACTTTACATGCAAAATGTCTGTTATTTTTACGTAACAAAGACGTCAAATTTTATGTAACAATACCTAACACTGTAACGTAACATTATGTACAAAATGTCCATTATTTCTATGTAACCGAGATGTAACATTGTAAAGTAACTATACGTAATACAGTAACGTAATGCTACATGCAAAATGTCCATTATTTTTATGTAACCAAGATGGTACCTTCATAGTCAAATTTTTTTTTTCAGATATATATACAAAGAGAAAGAAAGAAAGAGAGAGAGTGAGAGATGTATATCAAAAGTTATGACTTAGTGAAAGAGAGAACTCAAGTTGGACTAGATGTAATATTGTGCAAACTATACATACCAATGGCTATAGCTAATTAATATGTTTCACATAAAAGAAACTAAATAAAGAAACGTTGACATTTTATATACAATTTTGCTTGCGGGTTTTTAAAAACTTGTATTATTAACCGAAAAACATCATAACAAGATCTAGATGAGACAATTGAGACGTTAAAATCTCAAATAAAAATTTTTTTTAACATTAACGTAGGTTTCAGTTGATAATTTTTTTTAAGATATAACTTTGCGAATTGAAGCTTTTTTTTTTTTTTGTGACAAATTAAAAATAAATGATGATAATTAGTAGTTTTTGAGAAAAAAAATTAAGATACAAATGTCTTGATAAACGCTTTGTTAAATTAAGATGAAAAGTAAAGTTTAAAAAATTTATGTTTGAGACATATTTTAGTTACGTCTCAAATCTAGATTTAGTTACGTTACATCTCAATTGGTTACACTTTATCCAGTTTAAAAAAAAATTGAGATGAAATATTGCGAACTGAAATTTTTTTTTTTCGTGACAAAGTTACCAATTAAGACTATTTCACAATAAAAGTAAAATTAAAAGCTATTTCACAATAAAAATAAAATAAAAGAAAGCCTGCCTTATTTAGCAATAAGGCAGGCTTGGTAAGGAAGCGGGAGCGATCGTTCTTGATTGCTGACCACAGAAATAATATTTAGTTGCAAAAAGCTGGCCAGATTTTTTAGTCATTTTGAGAACATTTCAAAAAGCAAAAAGAAATGCGCAAAAGATTAATTGGACCAATGAGAGACAATTACAAAATAAAAAAAAAATTAAAAAAATTAAATATCTTTTAACGCGAAAAAACTAAAAGCAAAATAAATTACGTTTAGAACAAATATTTTCGAGACATCGCTCTTTTATAATTTTTTTATAAAATTAAGCGACGCTTTTTATATAAAGTAACATCTTACGATTGGTTAAAAAGGATTGTTTTTTATTTGTCAAAGTTAGCAAGTTTTAGTTTTATCTAAGCTAAATTAATTTATAAATTAAAAAGCAATTTTTTTAATGCCTATTTTATGTTTTGCATGATTAGAAAAGTTTAACATATTTGAAACAATTCTACTTAGTAAGATAAAAAAATGAAATAATTAAATCATTGAAGTACTATAAAAAATCAACAAGATAGAAATCAACTAAAAAAGTTAAAAATACGTTATGACGAGGAAGCGAAACTGCTTCACAATATTGTTGATGTTTATTGAGTGGGCTTTTTAATTTTAATTAGTAATTAAAGCAGAAAAAAGTATAACGAGTTTTTAAGAATTGCAACTAAAGCGAAAATAATTAGATTTAGTAAACCAATATCTGGAAAGTTTTCTTTCTATCTAACAACTGTGTGCTTGTTCATCCGCGAGTTACTTTGTATGCATTGTTAGTGTTTAGTAACCAGAAACTTCTTATATGTTTGTTACATAATTATTTCTATTTACTTTAATGATTATGAATAACTTAATTGAAAACGCAATTATTTTTTTAAGTCTTTGTTTACAAATTAAATCGATAAAAAACAGATACACAAAATTACATTTACATAAAAAATACATACCCTTTAAATTAAAAATAAGTATATACTAATAAAATCTATTACTTATAATAAACTTAAGATAAATAAAATAAGTATATACTAATAAAATCTATAATTTATAATAAACTTTCAAAATTTTGACAATTTAAATAATATATATTTAAAAAATTTATTTTTGTAAACAAATAATAAAAAGTCTATAAGATTTACGGCTTTGCAGATGTGGCTCCGAGATTGAGCCATAGAATTGATAGTATATTCTTAAAACAATCTATGCTAGAAATGTCAAAATGTAACAAATCATGAATACAATTTCTAAAACATTTCAACAATACTCTAAAACTTTATTTCGCTTAGTCAGCATATTTTTTGAATCAATAGAATTAGTTTGTTCATTAATTTGACGGGTTTTTAGAGTTCGCAAATATTCTTTTTATTCTTCCGCACCAAGATGTTTTGAGAACATTCTAAGTTTTTATGTTTCCATGTATGTCCGTCAAACAAAAATTTTTTGTTTCTTACATAAACTTAAATGTTCTCAAAATGACTAAAAAACCTGGCCAGTTATTCGCAACTGAATATAATTTCCGTGGTCAGTATTCAAGAGCGATCGCTCCCGCTTCCCGATCAAGCCTGATAAGGCAACAATAAACAAACATTTACTGCATTATCAAGTTTACTTATATATATTTAATTAAAAATTAGAGAATGTAAGCTTGTTACTAATTGCAACCAATTGCGACATAACATAACTTTAAAATAATATAGGGTACTAATAAAGATTCTCCAGAAGTAACAAGAACTATATTTTAGAGATGAAATACAAGATTTTGTGACCTAAGAATAGCGTGCTTTGGAATTAGACAACACCTTTTTACAATGGTTTCTAGCAATAGTAAACAGATGTCCGTTTTCTGGAGAATTGTTTTGCTGAAGTAACAGTTTCAATTGGAAATTGCAGTAGCACAATGTGAGGAAAACCATGGAGAAGAGTGAAGTTTGACATGTAATCGTCAAGAGCAAATAAAAGATTCCATGCCAGCCTGAACCCACAAAGTTAAGTAAGAAGCACATATGTCAGCAGAAAGACGAAAGATTTCTACCCAAGAGCCATCACAAAGAAAATCATGGAAAGAGTCCCAGTCAGCTTTAAGGTAGTTGTAAGAGATACAATGATAGGGTGATTCTGATTATGAAAAAGAATGAGATAATAGTTTTAGAGAGATTAAGTCGTGATCAGAAGCACCTAAGAATGAATGTGGAGAAACTGTGTACTGACTAGGATCAGAAACAAGACATAAGTCGAGTAGAGAAGAACTTGGTGATGACGATGGTTTTTTGTGTTTTATAGTTTTTGGTACTTTATTCATTTTTAAATTTGTTAGAGAACTTGACTCAAATCAAAGATAATAGTATAATATTTAATAATCCAAGCAATTTTCTCATTACTACTAATAAACCCTAAGCCATAACAAAGGCCTCTAAATGTGGCCTCAACAATGCGCACCTAAAGTATGAACAGGGACACCATCCATGCACAACATGGCACTGTTTGTACTCTGATACTTTACAGCTGTTGATGGAATAAGCCTCTCTGAGAGCTACCACAGAGTTCAAGAAACTTAACTACCAGCCAGCCTCAGAACCATAAAATTGAGTTTTAGAGCTGTACCCTCATTAGGAGATACTAGAATGATTTTCCTAGCCATAAAAACAGAGACACAAGCTTAACTCTTCAAAAAGATCCAGCATTTCTGTTTATAAAAAATCAATTTCCACAAAAATTAAGTCAATTGAAAAAGTTAATTCCAATATATGTTAACTTGGAATAGCCGCAGTCAAGTGTACATCAACAGGGTTTATGTTTTAGGATAAACACTCTACTAATCAATGGAAAAGATTTTCCTAAATACCCCACCCCTTCCACCCTGTAACAAATTGTTATAAAATCGTGACATAATTTGTGAACGACCTTGTATGCTATTATGAAGTTGGTTAGTTAATGGGTTTTCATACAACAAATCTTGCAATCAATTGTCTTCGAATATATTTGGTGTTTCAGACTGTTTTTTATCATCAACAGCAAAATCAATGATGATGATTATGATGATGAAGATGATGTTAATGATGATGATGATGATGATGATGATGATGATGATGATGATGATGATGATGATGATGATGATGATGATGATGATGATGATGATGATGATGATGATGATGATGATGATGATGATGATGATGATGATGATGATGATGATGATGAGCTGGCAAGTTAGTGACATTTTAAATATATTCAAATTCTTTTAAATAAATATTGTTAATATTTTTATAAGTAAAAGTTTTAAGCTTTAACCTTTAGTTTCATGTCATGTTTCCAGTTATCATATACTTTACTTTGTTACTAAGTAGTAAAATAAATATAATAATGTAAGACAAATAATAATAATAAAAATAATAATAATAAAAATAAGAATAATAAAAATGCATTAATATACTTGAATAACTATCTGATATCAAAGCATTCAGACAAAGTTGTAAACAAAGCTGTGTCTTTCCACTTGCACTTTCACCACATATTTCAGTAACACCAGGAAAAATTATTCCTCCATGAAGACATTGATCGACTAATTCACAGCCTGTAGATAACTTGTGATGCTTAAATTAAATGGAAATTATTGTGTTTTTTAAACTTTCAATAAAGTAATTTTTTATTTTGAACAATTTAATTTTTTTTTTTTTGTTCCAACATTAAATTTTACCTTATATTCTTCATTTGTGTGTATACTGTATGCAGTTTTAATTGACGATTTTAACAGATAATTAGCCGCTACACTCAGCAATTCTTTTAGGCTTGATTCATTTAATGAAACTTTTTCCTTTAACTCATAAATAGTTAAAGAAAATAGACTTGAAACTTCAGTTATTCTAGCTATTAAAATAAAAGAAAACATTGTTAAAGATTGTTAATTTTTTAAGATAATAAATTCGCTAATCTACTACCTTTTATAAGCTGCTGTTTAATGCTGGCGTTGATGTCCAAATTATTAATAGACATTAAATCAGAATAAAAAAGGCAAAATTACAATTTCCTAAAATGTATTTTTAAGCAGTTTATTGCCATTTATTTATTTTTTTTAGTTTACATTAATTTTTTTTGTAGTCTGATTTATACTTAGCAATAAGATTTTGACGGAAATCGGTTTTGAACAGTTCGCGCGATTGGAATCGTACGGCAAAATTTAAAAAGCTACTTCAAAAGGCCGGGTGAATGAAAATGAGCAATTGCTTTTACTCAGTATTTGGTCAACCTTACATGAGTAAAAACTTTAACAGTTTTTACATGAGTAAAAACTTTAACAGCTCAAATTTTTATTCATGTAAAGTAAAGCAATTTACTCAATAATTGCTCAATTTTAGTAAACAAAAACTTAAAAAAAATTGCCAATGTTTTTATTCATGTAAAGCTGACCAATTACTGAGTAAATGCAGTAAATGCTAATTTTTATTCACCCGGCCTAAAGTATCGTTTTCCGTAACAAATGTGAGGTAAACTAATTAATTAGAAGACGAATTTATGAGTACGAGTTTATGTGTACTAATAGAAGAATGAAATGTGTACACCAAGTTTAACTGGAAGACGAATTTAGGCCATTTGTGTACCCCAAACTTAACTAAAAGACGATATTGACCTTTTAAACCGAACTTAACTAAAAGCCGAACTTCAGTTTTAAAACCAAAGTTCGGCTTTTAATTAAATGTATTTTAAACTTAAAAACACATTTAAAAAATTAGGCTTTATTATCGAATTTTAACTAACTTATCATGCATAAACCAAAGTAATATGCATTTAATATTACTTACAGAATGCAAGTACACTGGTTTTAAAAATATTATTTCTATAAAAATAATGAAAGTAGATTTTTGAATAACCGTTTATTTTTTTCAGGTCGTAATTAACTATATTTTAAGTTCTGACAAAACACAAATGAAGCAAAGTCATTTTTTAATTTAATAAAACAAAAAATATGCGCTTACAAAAAACGACAACAATTAGTGACGAAAAAAAAAACCTTAAATCTAAAAATGCAGCAGTACTGAGAATTTAAGTTATGCAATCTTTAACAACTTTAACAACAATAGCAACGTTAATTGAAAAATTTCAAATGTCAATTTTGTAAAAATAAAAAGATTGTGAAGAATATTATGTTAAATATTCATCAGTTCTTTCACTCTCTTAGCTCTTTAACTCCGGCTGCTGCGCGGATAAACAGATATACATTTTTCATTGAAAACAATCAATACCTGCCCAATTTAACTAAAAGTTAAATGAAAATCTGTAATTGCTACCAAATTTAACTGAAAGTCGAACTTAGAAATTTAAACCGAATTTAACAGAAAGTCGAATTCGGATTTAAAAAACACATTTAGTTAAAAGAGAAATCAAGTTTTAACTAATTTATTTTTTTAATTTTACTTAGGTGCTCCAAGAAGTTTTTACGGTCTTATCACAGAGCACCGCGGAAGACAATTTAATAGGAAGTTCACGCCTCCTTTCTTTGCCAGAGGTGGTGGTTCGAACCACGGATCCTTTGTTTTTGAGGCAAATGCCACTGCGCCGAGGCTGCTCAACTTATCATGCATTAGTCAAAATAACATTTAGTGATATTTACAGAACGCTAATATATTGATTTCTATTATATTACAGAAAATATTACGAGATAAAGATTTAAACTTTATCTTATAATTTTAATTTTTTTTTAATCTTTAAGATAGTTCTGTGTAATGTAGACAAGATTTTCTATATTGAACTGTTAGTTCGGGTCTAAGTGAAAACTTGGCCAGCTGCAGAAAAGACTTATTCTGAAGAAGCTAATGAACATGGAATGTTTATTAGCTTCTTCAGAATAAGTCTTTTCTGCTGCTGGCCAAGTTTTCACTTAGATAAAAGTTTTTCACTATTTAAAAAACTACTAAGGATCCACGGATCCGTAGTAATTTTTATATGAAATAAAATGATTCTGCTCTTACGGTCCAGCGTGTTGGGCAAAGTATAGAAAGTTTTATACAGACTTTTATTAAACATTATAAAACAGTTTCAAGATTTCAAGGTTTTTTGTTTGTGTTTATTTAACAGCATTAGTTTAACAGTGTTTGGTTTATGGTGCCTTTTAACCAAGTTTTGATTCTTCGTAGTGTGTTGATAGCTCTCTCGCTAGCAGCGTTTGTTGTTGGTATCAGAAGGATAAGTTTTATCAACTTCCTAATTTCTGATAATAATTACTTTTCAACTTCATTTTCTTCTCTGTAAAACACAAAAGTTTATGAATTATATTACCATACAAATACGCATTTAGTGCATATGTTAGTCAATAAATAACAATAAGGTTTAGTGGAAATTCATTCATATCTTACCTAACAAAATTATGATTTTTTGTCGAGTCTTTTTTTTTCTTTTCAAGAGTGTCTTTTTTTTGTAGATTGACTTTTTGTGTAATGGTTCAATTGTGGATTCGTGCATAACTTGTAATTGAAGCATTCAAATCTGTAGCATAGGAAGCAAGAACTTCTTTATTTATTAAACTACCTTCAGATGAAACATTTATTAGTACTGATTCTATCTTTTGAAACATTAAATATCCTTCTTGTTCAAATCTAGATTGAGTACTGCCAATTGTCATTTTTATAGCTTCGAAAAATATCTTCATAAAAAAGTTAAACCTAGAATTTTCAGATAACACTGATGTAGATGCTCCTATTTCAAAACAACGAGGTAATTTGCGATGACGCGGCTAAGCAGGTTTTTCTAATGGAAGCAATTTTCTTTTGATTTCAAAACGGTTCTAGAATAGCTCTAATTAATTTTAAGACCGAATAAATTTCAATGTAATCAAAGTTCTTTTAACTTTCTGACCTTTACTAGCCGAATGTGTAACTATTTGCGAACTTTTTGATAAATTATCTTCCATGCATAGAATAACCTTGCCCAATTCAATTCCAAACAAGAAAGTGATTTTGTCTGCAACTCCTCCTAAAAAGTCATTTGTGCTGCAACTCCTCCTATTCGAGCTACGATGTCACTGTCTTTTTTCTCAGATTTAGCTTCTTCCCAAGCAACTCGTAGAGCGTAGTAGTTTTTTATATAAAATAAAATGATTCTGCTCTTACGGTCCAGCGTGTTGGGCAAAGTATAGAAATACCGGCTGTCTCACGGAGAATTTTTTCTTTTACCTGTTTGAAAAGGTTTGAAAAGGCATTCACGTTTGGGAGATTTTTTAATAATTTTATTTTATTTATCTAATAATATTTAAATTAAAATATTAAATTAATGAAAAATAAAACTTTAAATAAAAAGAGGAAAATGCAAACTTATTTTAAAAAATCATCCTACGTGAACAAAACAACTTTTAGTTGTAGCAGGTTTAACCCCACGATGTAACAAGTTTTAATTTTTAAATATATATATATATATATATATATATATATATATATATATATATATATATATATATATATATATATATATATATATATATATATATATATATATATATATATATATATATATATATATATATATATATATATATATATATATATATATATATATATATATATATATATATATATATATATATATATATATATATATATATATATATATATATATATATATATATGGGTGGAAATGTATTATATTGCCCAAGTTTTCCTAGTGGTGCAAATTACAAGGTATTTTTTGATAACTACTTTTCATCAGTACTTTTTCTGACTGAAGCTCAAGTAAGATTTATTGACTGTTGGAACTGTTCAAAATGATTGAGTAGTTCCAACAATTGTTGTTGAGGCTAATTCTGGAGTATGCATTGTGAAATGGTATGATGTTAACATTTTTCAGTAAATTTTAAACTTTGTTGGATGTGAAAAATGAAATAAGGATCGCAGGTGATTAAAAAAAGAAAACAAATTCATTGCAATTAGTTGATCAAAAATTGTTGAAGTATTTAATTCTCACATGGGAGGTGTAGGTTTATGCGATATGCTTTTAGAGTCATATAGAGTTAAATAATGTAGAGTAAAATGCTACATGCATTTATTTTATTACTGCATTGGTATAAGTATAATTAACAGTTGGTTACAAGTCAATAACAAATGGTGACGTTCTAGATAAAGCTGGAAAATTACCCAGTAACATAACTAAAACATGCTAGAGAACAACTTTTAATCAGTAGTATAAATCCTCCATAAAAAAAAGACCACCAACTATTTGTATCAGGGCCGAGAGGGAGGGCAAGAGATATCCAAGGGGCGGCAAATGAAAAGAAGGGAGAGGGAGGGCGGCAGATATCCAAGGAGCGCCAAATGAAAAGAAGGTACCTAAAAAAAATGTGCAATGTTTGAAGTGTAAATCTAATCACTTGGCATTGTATATCATATAAAACTATTAATGAATAGGTCGTTAATGAGCTCTGTGACAACAAATTAAAAAAACCTTGTGTTAGTATTGTAAAAGTTCTTTTTTTTATCAGTTATGTTTACTTATTAAAAAAACATAAACAAATTTTTTTTGTAATATTGAGTCATAATTGTTGCATGAAAAGCTTAAACTTAAATTCGATGTACTGTTTTTTGTTAAAGCTGTTAGATAATTAATTTTGGTCACTAAATTTTATACATTTTGGGCTCATCCATAAATTCGTTACGCTCTGAGGGGAGGAGGGGAGGGAGAGGAAAGGTTTAGTGGTATTGCGACAACTCTTACGGGACTTGTTCTAAAGAGTTGCGATGTTGTGACAAAGGGAAAGGGGTCAAAAACAATCAAAAAATATCTCCATTTGCGATGTCATTGCGAAAAGTGATATTTGATACTGAGTAAATGACATTCCCGAAACCATTGTAGCATCAACTTTGTTTTAAATAAAATAACACCAAAAATTCATTAAATTTTTTTTAGTGAAGTTACGCTTGGATTTAGTAAAGTTGCATTCGTATAAATTGAAGTTGCATTCGTTTTTGTTGAAATTGCATTCGTATTTAGTGATGTTACATTTGCATTTTGTAAAGTTGCTTTAGTATTTATTAAAATTGAATTTGTATTTAGTGATGTTGCATTCGTATATATATTAAAGTTGCATTTGTCTTTATTGTTGTTGCGTTCGTATTTAATGAAGTTTGTATACAACATTTTCTGTATTATTTTATTG